TTAAAATAGAAAAGGATTTATTAAAAAGGAAATACCACACCCTTACTGTGCACAGCAACGAATCAAGAAAGAACTACAAAGAAAAGGTGCAGATACACAGTCCTCTGTCCCTCAGCCTTATATGTGCCCTAGCTAGTCTTTAAAGTTAGAAGTTTCATCATTATAAAAACTTCCCATTACCTTGCAGTCTTTGTCCAAGATACCTACTATTTGTCTCCATGTGGCAATGGTGGCTATCAAGGTGGAGCCCAGGTGTGAGAACTCCTTTGTCCCAATGAAATCAGCCAAAATGGACCCTATTCCTTCTGTGCCTAAGGAATTGAACTCCTTTGTCTGCCCAGCCTCCCACCCCCCAGTAAATCAAGTCTACTTTTCTTAAGGTCCCGAAGAAGAAATTATTTAGCCTCTCATATCCCAAGTATCTGTCACCTCCTATGTGTCAGACTCCAGCTAAGGTGTGAGCTGGCCATTTCATTGTCTTCTGCTAGGTGAGGCATTTGATTTATAAAGCTTTTATGACTGGGTATTCAACAGAGTAGTTAACAGGATGGGCAATACTTGGGAACAATCAACTTCTCCTTTCTTGCCTGTCTTCTGCCAATAGGAAAGAAAAACTTTAAAAATCAAGTGTGGGCTTTGTGCAAGCTCCAGACCTTGAAATATTGGGATGTAGCCCACTGTGGAGTGTGTTTCTCCACACCTTATTTTTGCTATCTGAAGATAATTCTTCAAACATCTGATGAAGTGGACTGAGCTCAAGATCACATACACTCGTGCTGTAATAGGATGACAGTGGACACCACTGCATTAGCTGCATCATACTAGAGTCATAGAGTTCTAGAGTGAAAGGAAGAGTTGCCACTTCTGGGTTGGGAAATTCCTAGAGATTTGGGGGTGGAGCCTTGGGGAGTGTGGGGGAGGAATGGGTGGGCAGGAAGCTCAGCAGGGTATAATTCCACAGAGTCCACTCTCTGAAGCAGCCATTTTCTCCAGGAGAACTGATCTCTTGTCAGCTGGAGGTCAGTTGTAATTCCCAGAGATCTCCAATTCCTACCTGGACATTGGCAACCGTAGTGGAAAGATGTCTTGTCTAGTACATCCTCCTGCTCAAGGCAGGAAGCCCTATGCTAGATCCCATCCTCTGCTTCAAGACCTCTAGCAAGTGACAGCCCATTAGCCCCATCCCCAGGTGGTCTTAGGCAATGGGCAATAAGGAAACTGCTGATGTGTCTCCCCCCTGGAAGGAGGGGGGAAGAAGAATAACAGTCTCCTCCCACTACTTATACAGTCCCCATCTGGGGCATGGGCAGGTGACATCCAATGGCAGTGAGGGCTGCTGCCTACTTCACACAGGGTGAGGACGATCTTTTCCTAGTCCCTGGCAGGGGGGAGGCTGGTGGTGGGGTGGCAGTGATTCTGGAGCCCTGTGGCCAATGGTCTTGCCCCTTCCTGGCACTCACTAATCCTTTGTATGCCTGTTTGGTTTGTGTATAGAGCAGCTAACAGCCTGCCCATGGATGGCTGAGGAAGCTAGATGGGAGTGGGGTAGTGAGAGAGAAAAATCTGTTATGCTGCCAGCTCTGTTCAGACAAGGTTTCCAGAGTGTTAGCTGGGAGAAAACATGCCGTTGGAGACTGCATAGGTCTCAGAGTCTCCATGTATTATAAAATGATGAATGCCTTAAAGAATTCTGTGAATGTTTGAGGACAGGGTTGGTGCTTACAGGGGGGTAGGCTGCTATTCCTTTCTCAGGAGACTCTGAAAGTCTCAGAGTTTGTCCTTTGTGATAAAGTAGGCTAGCACAGTGCATGTTTGAGGAAAAGACTGAAGTTGTCTCAGGGTCTAGTTTCTGAGGTAAATTGGTTAATGATTTATAGTTTGGGGAGAAGCTCACATTTGCACTGTAAGAATCCTGAGGTAGAGGGAAAGGCAGTAATCACCTCAAAACCAAAACCTTGGCAGTTAACTGATCTGTGCACCAACAGTTAACATCTGCAATGTTGTAACTTAACATGTCCAGCAAAAGCTGTGTGGTGTCTCTAAATTGCTTGAAGCCTCATTATTGAACTTCCTTATTTCTCTTATCCCTGGTTATAAATAAAAGGTTTGTCTTTTAATCCTGTTTTCTAGATGTCTTATATGTAATAACTATGTTTAGAAGGGTTTGGCCTGTCAGTAGAAGACGTAGGGAGAGACCACTTTGGTAGAACTATGCAGCATCCTAAAACGCTAAACAGCATTCAAAACCCTGACCTTCACAGGCCTCGTCCTGGAGTTTTGCCCACGACAAAATCCCGAGTCACAAACACTACCGGCTGCAACCCCTAGGTAGTCAATTTCATTGTTGAACTATGAAGGAGTGTCTTCTAATGTTCATCTAAAATTACCCTCCTGTAGCTTGTCCATTAGCTCTCATCTGGCCCTCTGAAGCAGCAGAGAACCATCTTTGCCCTCTTCCACGTGACTGCATTTTAAGAAGCTGAAAACCCCCTGATTACATTTCCCTGGAGTATTCTCTTCTCCAGACCAAACAGACCAGTTTTCCTCAGTCTTCCTTGCAGGGCTTATTTGCCAGATCTTCCACTTCCATTTTCATTGCCCCTCTTGAAATCTGCTCCAGTTTGTCTACATCATTGTTTTAAGGTGCCCACAACTGGACACAGGGCTCCAGATGGGGTCTGACTAGCGCTGAGTACCGTGGAACTATTACTTCTCATGGCTACTTCTAAAACAAACAACAGCTGCATTCTTTTGCTTATTTGAAAAAAAGGTGACCTGAGCTCAGTTGTGTTTATAAATGTCCATCCTGTATGGAAATATTTGTGTGAAGGGTCCAGGCCTTGCATATGGTCCCCATCAATAATACTGGAGGGGGGGATTGATAATGCTGGCCTGCCTTACTGGTGGTTTTGATAGATTCAGGTGGGGAGCCATATTGGTCTGAAGCAACAGAACGAAATATGAGTCAGACCCACTCAACTCGATTTTTGTTTGGTTGTTTTGAGGCATTTTGAGAAATGCTAAGTAGCATTATACAAAATAAATCTATGACCCTTGGAAAATGTTGTGCCTGTCTGCAAGAGAGGCGGGGGGAAAGACAGGGGCGCATTCTTCTGATCCATGTTTTGTTTATTTCCAGATTGGGGATGAGCACAAATGTTGAGCTGAGACCACAGCCACTGCTGATGTTGAATAGTTCTAAGCCACCCCTTTCCCCCAGACCAGGTAGGTGATGGCTAGGATCATTTTGGGGGCTCCCCATGTGACAGTTGCACTCAGCTTCAATGAGGCTTCCGCTTAAGAACTTCCCATAAGATCATGCCCTATATAATTTAACAGGAAGACGTTGCTTTTAAATGTTTTGTCCTGGGCACCAAAATTCTCTGAGGCCAGCTCTGACGGTACCTCTCTGCCTGAAACATATGGGCATATGGAGCAGTGCAGGGCATCAAAGCCCTGATTAGTGGAGACCCGATTCAGCCTCACCCCTCCATCTTTTGAGGGTTCAGCACCAGCGCTCACATGCTTTCAAGCATATCTTCATGACCATGAGAGCTGTAAACTCGCTTCCTAAAAAAATTCTGAGCTTTGGAAGCTGTATTCTGTACCTGATACCAAATCCTGTGCTGCTACAACAACAACAACAACAGCTATTATTATTTATATTTATGAATTGGCCAGCCCCGCGAACAGTCTCTGGGCAATTTACAACCTTAAACAGATATAACAGATAAAATATAATCAGCATGTTAAAATTATCACAGTACTTTAATAAAACAACCAGTTCAGATGGCGATCAACCCCTTTTGCCAGCTGCAGTGCAGGAGGGCAGGGCAGGGGACATGGGGGGCCATAGGAAGAAAATGAGGGTGCCAGTCGTAGCCATCGCTGCCCTCAACTAAAAGCCTGGCAGAACATCTCCGCAGATCCGTAGCGCATCCGTAGCGCATATACAGTCTGACTGGTGTGTATAGCCAACAGCTATTTTTTGCGGGGTAGGGAGCCTAGGAAGTAATATGGCAGGTCCTGATGTAATCAGTACACGCTGATCCTTCGAAAGTGTAGTGTTCAGGTGTTTAATTGGTTATTTTAAACCCTTCAGTTTAAAAAGGTGCTCTTGATTAAGCAGGAAGCAGGGTTTTTAAAAAATTGTTACTGAAGAAGAAGAGATTGGATTTATACCCCGCCCTTCACTTGGAGTCTTAGAACAGCTTACAGTCTCCTTTCCCTTCTTCTCCCCACAGCAGACACCCTGTGAGGTAGATGGGGCTGAGAGAGTTCTTTCGAGATTGTAATTCAAGAAAGTCTCACATAGGAGGGAATTTCTTTTTCTAATATGGGTCCACCTGTGACTGTTTGGGGCATCTTCTAAAGGACAAGTTAAGATTGTGTTTTTCTTCCAAATTATGATTTTATTCCTATGCAAATTGGATGAAAGAATCAAGTAAAACTCCCACGACGAATCTTTTACTCTGGAGACTGCTCTAGTTACATACTCTTAGGACCTGCCCTCTTTATTTTTAATTCCATTGTTGGCGGGGTTGGCGGGTCCCCCCTGGCCACCAGCAGGGGGTAGGGAGTGAGGCTGCCAGATCCAAGTTGGAAAACACCTGGAGATTTGGGGATGGTGCCTGGGGGAGGACAGGGGCTCAGTGGAGTGCAATCCCAGAGAGTCCATCCCCCAAAGCATCCATTTTCTCCAGGGGAACTGATGTCTGTAGTCTGTAGATGAGTTGTAATACCGGGGGATCCCCAGGTCCCACCTGGAGGTTGGCATCCCTACTTCTTGGTGAGGACACACAACCGGAGTCCAAACACATTAAGGGTTTGTTTAAATTGAAGCAGCAGCTGTTTGTGTGGTTTTTGCCTTTTGGTTTGCCTCCTTTCTCTAGCGAGCCTTAGAGCTGATCCTTTCCTCCTCCTCTTCTGTTCCAGAGTTTGTTGTGGCGCACTGAGATGATCTGAGAAGGAGCTGGAAAGAGCAGAGAGCTGCTTTTAAGATGACCCGAACGCACCCGCCTGATCTCCTGGTGTCTACGGTGTATCAGGACATCAAGGTGGCGTCTGTCAACCCCTCCCGTTCTGCCTTCTGCCAGCCCATGAGGCGATGTGACACCTCCATGACTTCATCCTCGGAGACCCACCCCCAGCACTTCAACAAGCGGCACTGCCGCAGCTTCGACTTCCTGGAATCTCTCGACGAACCGCCACCCACGCCGCCTGCCATGGAGCGCATCTCCCGGCGACCACCCACTCCAGAACCATCCTCTGTTCCTGTTGGCAAGAAGGCCTCGGTCCGGACAGCAGCTCCAGAGGCTTCTGTCAGCAAGCCCCAGTCCCGAGGGAGAGATGCTCCAACGGAATCGGTCCCTCGGGCAGAGCCCAAGAGGCGTGCCAGGTCTAAGAGCACCCCTCGAGTCAAAACTGCCTTCACCCCCATTGCCGTCCCTGTCTCCTCTTCCTCGCCACCGGTGCCGACCAGGAGGGGGCGTGAAGTCCATCGAGTCTCCCGAGAGCCTGAACGAATCGAGCTGTCCCCACGTCGAGAAGGCGGCTATTCCTCCACGAAGGCCCTGATGAACGAAGTGCATCCCATCAAGTTGCAACCGCAGCGCAGCAGCGGTAGCCGGATTTCGCCCCTCTGTGTAAGTGGCGCTAACTGCTATGACGAGGCGCCTGCCGTAAGGCCTATGCCACAGAGCGTACACGTCAAACGCCGGGTGGACATCAAGCCGGATGAGGCTACGGTGATGCACGCTGCTCGCAGCAGCAAGGCCTCTCATGGCCACATGGAGGCCCTGCCACCCTGGCCTCGGCCTCCTGGCACTGCCCACAGCTTAACAGTGCCCGGCAGCCGACAGATGTCCATGTCACGGACTCCCACGCCCAGCGACACCTATAGTGGGGAACACCGGGTCCTGGCGCCCTACCCTGCTGAACTTTACGATGGAGGTCCAGCCTTGCCAGAAGGTGGCTGCATCCCCTTCTCCCCATATGTGCCAACCAAGTTCTTCTACACTGAAGAGCCGGGCAGCTTCCCCCTGAAAAGCACTGGCTATGACGGATACCCTCCCCAGTATGGGGGTCATGCCCTCCCACCACAGCCGTTTTATGCAGAAGAGCCCCCCCAAAGCAGCTTCCATGCTCCCCCTCCCAGGACGTTTTTTGTGGAGGATAACAGGGCTTATCCCATCCAGGAGGCCCCCACCAGGACATACTATGGGGATGACTCTCGCTTTTATGTCCCCAGGACTCCTCCCGTGAAAGCTGTTTATGCTGAGGACCCAAGGGCTTACCCTGCCTTGAGGTCCAACCCCCGAGTCTTCTATGCAGAGGATTATGGGAAATACCATGAGCGGGAAGTCATGTCCAGAACCTACCCATATCCACGCAATGCTCAGCCCGTGCAGTTCAATGACTGGTACTGCCCTGATAGAGGGGCACTGCCATACCAGACTTGGCAGATGTCCCGTTTCACTCCCCACCAGCCTGGGCCCCGAGCCATGTTGTCCTCCTGGCATGCCAGCTACAGTGCCAGCCCTCCCCGCCTTGGCACGGACACACGTCACTATTCCAAGTCCTGGGACAATATCCTGACTCCCCACGTGCGCCGGGAGGACCCCATTTTGCGTGGGCGCAGCTATGAGAACCTGTTGGCCCGGGATCAACACCGTGCCTTATCCCCCGATGACCGACGGCAACCAGTTGTGGTCAATCTGTCCACTTCACCTAAGCGCTATGCTGCGCTTTCGCTCTCCGAAAACTCCCTCATCGAGAAGATGCACATGGACGGTGGGCGTCATGGCTGGTTTGTCACCCCAGAGATCACGATCACTGACAATGACATCCGAGCCAATGGTTTCTGTAAAACGGAGAGGCGCTCAGCCAGCTGGGATGTGTTGGATTCGGGAGATGTACAAGGCAGGGGTTGCATCCAAGCCCGGCCCTATGTTCCAGACCCTGGCACCAAAGAAAGTGCTGCCCGCCAGCGCAGCCTGGAGCAGTTGGACGAGCTTATCACAGATCTGGTCATTGATTACAAACCCCCTTCCGCTTGCCCGTCCAGTGAGGTCAGCAACTTGGCCGACCAGCTCAGGCGGCTGATCAGTGAGGGCATGGCCCTGCCTCCCAAGAAACAAGACCCCTGGAAAGTGGCAGAGCCCCATCCTACAAAAGAACAGCCTGGCCCCAGCCCGTTCCATGCCGAGCTTCGCAAGGATCAAGGGAGGCGCTCTGCCGACATGGCGGTGTCTACTGGCACCTTTGAGAAAATGCTGGATGACTGCTCGCCGGATCTCAGTGCCGACGAGGATGACGTGATGATGTGTTCCAATGCCAAGTGCCGCCGGACAGAGACCATGTTCAATGCTTGCCTCTACTTCAAGTCTTGCCACAGTTGTTACACTTATTACTGCTCCCGTAACTGCCGGCGGGAGGACTGGGACACCCACAAGGAGAGCTGCATCTATGGGCGGATTGGCAGCACTTGCCGCCACGTGCTGCAGTTCTGTAGAGAGAGCGGAGAAGTGCACAAGGCCTTCTCACGTATTGCTAAGGTGGGCTTTCTCTCCAGAGGCCGCGGGGTACTCTTTTTGGGCTTCCCCAATGCGGGCTCTGCAGAGAACTTCCTGCAGTTTGGCTTGGAGAGCTTGCTGATGTCTCCCACTTACCTGTCACTGCGGGAACTTGAAAGTTACTCTGACAACCTTGGGGACTACGCCCGGGAACTTCGGGAGGCTGGCCAACAGTATGACCCAGATGAATGTTTCCTCCTGAATGTAACCGTGGCTGTCGGACAGAAGGTCCCCGAGAGGCCGTCCCCCAAGGTGCAGGTGCCAACGGTCAGGAAGTATGCCAAGGTGGCCTTAGCATCCTCAAGTCCTGAAAAGAAGATCCTGAAGAAGGAGCGAGATATGGAAACGCTAATCCTGACGCCTCCTCCTGGCACAGCTGACATAGACAAAGAGGGTGAGGAAGGGCGCAAAGCCCGCGAGGTCTGTTTCATTAACATCCAGCGGGAGCTGCGCATCCGTGGAGTCTTTTTACGGCACGAGTTCCCTAAGATTTATGAGCAGCTCTGCGAATTCGTGGAGAGTAACAAACGCTTCACGCCCACCACTATCTACCCCATTGATAAGAGGACCGGCAAGCAGTTCATGTGTATGATCATGGCAGCATCTGAGCCACGTACTCTTGATTGGGTGGCAAGTCCCAACCTCCTCGATGATATCATGTGATCCTACTGCTCTTTCAGTCCAACCCAGGGCCTCCTATTTATTGCCCTTTTCTTAGAAGTGTATTTTATTATCAGAGTACTAATGTGATTGGTTGGAATGTTCCTGTTTCTTCTGATGCATAATTGTTGGCCGTGGAATGGGCCGGTCTAGGATGCGACCAGGTTCCTTGGGGAAAGAATGATGTGTGTGGCTCGAAGTACGAATCATGTCAGGATCAATCTGAAATGAAATTTCTTTTCAGAATCTGGAATTTTCAAATGTTGTTTAAAAATTGACTATCAAAACGCAAGATCAACTTCTTTTGGTAACTGTGAAGTCAGCAATGCTCAGTCATTGCCAAATCCCAGACCTTGCAACCTGCCCCCAAAAGCCAGCTATTTCCATGGTAGAGAGTATTGTTTTGTTTCTTAACTGATTTTGGAGAATAGAAATTGAATTGTTTTCCATCACATTTTCATAGGGACAATTATTTTGACATTTTTGTCCAAACTCCCCAGCCTATTTTGGCCTTATCCTGCCATCTTTGGATTGATGCTGAGCAAAGGCTGGGGCTCACTGGGTTGGAATGGGACTGATGTTTATTTTAAGTCACTTTTAAGCAACCGGGCTGTAAGGACACAACTTGAGGTCTTGGGGAGGGCAGGGGGTATCCTTCCAACCTTGCATGCCCTCTGCAATGGTCTACCAGTTGGCCCTGGAAGAGCCAGGGCTGTGGAAGGGCCAAGGCCCTTCCAGTCTCTCTGGTTCACTCTCTAACCATTAGACAACAGTGCTACCTCTCTTAGGACGTGTGGTCAGAGATTAGCTTTGACTCCTACTGCCCAGCTCTTGGAGAAAACCAGATTGTCCTTAGTTGCTCCAAAGAAGACTTCTCCCTTCCAAGCTAAACATTCAGCTAAACTCCTATGGTGATCACAGAAGTTACTAATCGGAAGGGGTATATTTGCATGGGGGGGAAGCAGGGTGCAGCTGAGAAAGTGTGTAAAGATGTCTTGGGGACTCCTTTCATCCCACCCTGAGTAACTGGTGCATGCTTTGGAAAATGTGATTGTATACTGTGCCACCTTTCCCAAGTACACACGGGCACTTCTGCCCCCAGTTTTTCACACACTGTATGCACTTCCATTTCTGGGGGCAGCTGGAGCATCGCACTGTCATGGCTTGTAGTAATTGATGTGGAGAAACCAGTCCTACTGTGTGGGAAAGCGATGTAGCCCCTAAAGATGACAGAATGGTCTGCTCTGTGGGGCATAATCCACGGGCATGTTCTGCTGCACAACACCTGCTGAGATGAAGAAGAACCTCTCTTCATTTCAATGACGTTTGTGAAGGAGATTGTCCCAGTGCATTGCTATTCATGATCAGAAGTGGGGTCCCTTTGGAATGTTTTGCTTTAAGCAGCAAAATGAATGGAGCCAGCCCTGGGAAGTTAACTATTTCCTCCCCCCCATCCAGGCTCCATCATCGATGTTTCTCAAGATCACTTAGTGCAAGTTGAAAGACCCCTTAATGTTCTTCAGTCACTGCCCTGCTCACCGTTAGGGAAAAAAGAACGGATTTGATTTTTTCCTCCCTCCTTTTGGAATATTATGATGAGAGTTTAGTTTGCATTTGCAACTGCAGGGATGGAAGAGTTGGTGTTTGCTATCCAGGGTTAATACTGGAGAATTAAGGTGGATTGATTAATTCTAGAGTACTAGGGTTTGATCTTGTGGCTTCTGCCTAAATTGATGTGGAACCATTATCCCCATGACGGTGGCAGGTGTTGCTTGATGCTCTCAGGGTGTGAGTCTGCTGAAACAGGGAGGCCTTTTCTAGTTGCAAAGTCTTGAGCCAGTGTGGAGGTGTCTCATGAAAAGCTGGAAACAAAAATGACCCAGTGCGTTGCATTGCATTGCCTGCATCAATGTTTTAGGCACCTTGGCATCCAGGCACCTGGTCTTCCCCCCCTGCCTTTTTTGCATTTGCCTTCCAGCTTCAACCTACCCTTGCTTGCCTTGACCTGAG